CAAAAAAAAAAAAAAAAAAGATGTCGAAAATCTCGCAATTTTCAGCGAGGCCCACACAGGCCCTCTTAAACCCTAGGAGCGGCCGCCTCCTTTACGTAGGAGCGGACGCTAGGGGACTTCGGAGGAAGGAGAGGCAAACGCACCACCGGGGACGGACGAACGACGACGCTTCCACCAGCGACGATAGCCAAGCTTTGCGATTAGGGTTTTCAAACGAGGAAGACGAAGCGGCAGGCGTGGGTCGACTCTCGGCATTTCGCAAGTCATCTCGGCCAGCATGCAGCCCGCACCTCGCAAGCCGCACTTGAATAGCACCTCTAGGCCTCATTCCCTTTCGGCCCAAACCGGAGGCACGCTTAGAAACCCTACGCCGACAGTGTTCTTCACAGCCATCAGCTTTAGCTCCATCGGCGACTCCGCGCACTCTCGGCTTGGCTAGGTTCGGCTTGGCGGCTTGACGTTCGAATAGGATACCGATCTCTAGGTTTTCGACCCTTCTGGAGCCATTCTCACCCTGGTTTCAACCATCTGAGGTCAGTATAACTCCATTTTGACTGAATAGTTTGCAATAGGGACACACCTTGGTAGCTAGGCATAAGGGATAGTGGTGAGAGGGCTCTAAGTGTATCATGTTATCTTAAGGAGGTAGTTAAGAGCCGAAGTTAGCATTGTGGGTGACTTCGGCCGAGGCCAAGGAGGTAAGTAACCTTACTGCTGGCGTTAGTTATGTATGTATGTTGGTGCGTGCCCTATGGCCCTTGCTTGCACCATGTGTGTTGTTGATGTATGCTAGTTTAGACGTTTCTTGCAGTGAAATGCTATGTATGCCATGTTTATGTATGTGATTCTTGCAGTGAAATGCTATGTATGCCATGTTTATGTATGTGATTCTTGTAGGGAAATGCTATGTATGCCATGTTTATGTATAGGACGTTTGTGACACGTTTGCTACCCTGTATGTATGAGCTTGATTGACATGTCATGATTGTAATGAGAACCCTGCATGTCATGAATGAGTTGACTAGTATGCTATGATATGCTTGCTCGATGTTGACCCAGTTAGGCTATGTAATGCGGTGAGGGGATTAAACGTTGTATGTATAATGCCATGGAGGTAAACCTTAAGAACCTCATGCACGCTATGGTTATGTACTTAGGGCACTCCGCTATTATGCTACTGATGGTATGGACGCGTATATTCAATATTGTGTTCGCCACGATATCATGTAGGCCCTCCTTTGTTCGTGGCGTCCGGTATTGTATGTCATACATACCTGACCAAGCCAGGCCCAAGGAGTTCACTTGCGAGCTCGCTTGATGGGCCCACAGTCACACATGTGGGCCATGTGTGGGAAAGTACTATGCATCCACCCCCGCCCGGACAAAGCAAGGGCCTAAGGCCGTGAAAAGGAATGGAAGACAGACCCCTCTCATGGTTTCTTTCTTTTAACTCTGGTGCTCATGTAGGTGTATTGTGTGCGAAAGTATGTGTGCGACTACTTGTATTTGTATGTATGATTATGTGCTTACCCCAACAGTGGGGCGACTTACTGGTTATTTTATATAATACTCAAGCCACGTGCTACCCATATTTTCAGGTAAGGGAAAGGCTCCCATGTACGGCTGACGATGGATGCTACGAAGGCCATGGAAACTTTGAGGAGAGTTTGCAGTGTCGTAGGCACCTTGTTTGATTCTTTTGGGTTCATAGTTATTGCAATTGTTTCCTTTTGTTCTCTGTTGATTATTTCTAGATTAGGTTGTCGTTATTGTTTTCCCCAGGTATGAACTGCTTATAATAATGAATGCATTGTCGTATTGGAGACTGTCTTACGTGAATTTTTGTTCTGTTGATTATGCAAGTATGAAGTAACGTCGCTAATTAGGTTAGAAAAAAATTAGGGGCGTTACAATAGTCAACTAAGGGAATACTGAAAAGATAGATCTCATTCACAATTGCATGTGTCTGCATCTAACCCCAATAATGGAGTCACTAGTGAGTATTTTTTAAAATACTCAAGTCACGTGCTACTTCTATGTCAGTTAAACGCAAGACACCCCTGCACGGTTGACGATGGTATCGCATGTTGAGACCATGACACATGTATAGGATAGCTGTATTTAATTTCTTAAACTTTAGGTTAGAATATGGTGGTTTTACTTTTAATGTTTATTTATTTTATTTAGTATTTCTTTATGTGTTCAAAAACACATAAGACCAAGACAGTGTTTTATGATAAAGTTTCAAATGATTACTTCTGCATAAAATTATTACGTTATGTGTACAGTAGTGACTTTAGGGTCGTTACAATTGAACTATATAAAAATGTTACAATTTTAATATATGGTTTTGGATGAATTTGTTTCATTTTAATGATTATAAATTGATTTGTTTTTATTTGTGAAGTTTAATATTTTTTATCTAACATTGTATTAAAAATTGAAAATGATTAAGGTGTATAAATAAATTTTTTTTAAAAAATTAGTTTTTTTTAACAATCCATCAACCCAACCCGAGGTTGGGTTGTGAAATTTTTCGGGTTGGTTGGATTGAACTCTTGAGTTTGTTCAAAACAATCCGTCAACCCAACCTAACTCGGACCATGTACACCCCTTAACTAATAGATCGTAGATGAAGTTGAATGAGATAGAAGACAACCAAGACGACATGAATAGTTGAGTGCGATGTCGGGAGATGAGCTGAGATGAGGCACTACGATAATTTAATATGTACATTGTTTTCTCAAATATGCATCAAAAACTACCATTTATTAATCATTTGTAATTACTTCCCAACACACCGAAGTCTTTGATGTGTTTGTATATATGAAAACATTATCAAATATAACTTCTTGCATTCATAGTTTCATACAAATGATATCAACTTAAACAAAGATATTCAAAGAGATGACCAAAGTGGGACTCCAGGTAAAGAACTACCTGCATTAACAACGAAAATGTTACTGGAAACATACTTAAAAGAGTCGTGCACCAAGTATCGAGCGACGGTTGCTAATGCACGGTCTATAGTTCCAGATATTTTTAAAGAAACCATTCTCATTACAACCATATTAATCCAATCTTTTTGCACGAGATCTTTTGTAATTTCATATTTAAAGAGTCCAGGACATATAGAATTCACTCTAATTTTGTGAGATCCTAACTCCATCGCCAATAGCTATTACAATAAAAAGTTTTCGATTATTGTTCTCGTAATTAATTATAGCTAAAGGTAGCTATGTGTAACAGTCCAAGCAAGGTACGGAATGTCTTGTCAAATATTCAATATGATTCCACAAGATCTAGTTTCGTTCAAGTAACGGATTCTAGCCAATTGAAAGGATCTTCTGATCAATCCAGAGATCATTTCGATTCCATTAGTAATGAGGATTCGGAATATCACACATTGATCAATCAAAGAGAGATTCAACAACTAAAAGAAAGATCGATTCTTTGGGATCCTTCCTTTCTTCAAACGGAACGAACAGAGATAGAATCAGACCGATTCCCTAAATGCTTTTCTGTATATTCCTCAATGTCCCGGCTATTCACAGAACGTGAGAAGCAGATGAATAATCATCCGCTTCCGGAAGAAATCGAAGAATTTCTCGGGAATCCTACAAGATCCATTCGTTCTTTTTTCTCTGATAGATGGTCAGAACTTCATATGGGTTCGAATCCTATTGAGAGGTTCACTAGAGATCAGAAATTGTTGAAGAAAGAACAAGATGTTTCTTTTGTCCCTTCCAGGCGATCGGAAATGCTAACAAATATTATCTTATGCTTTCCATTTTAGGGTTCCCCTTAAATTTTTTAAAACGTCTTCTAGGGAGAGTTTTTCACACGTTTATAAAGAATATTGGGTTCTTCTCTCCAACCCATGTGAGATCTCTCAATCCACTGTCTTCAAGGTTCAACTTTCTTGTTGACACTTGTTTTTTTTTTTTTTTCCAATAAATGTGAGACCTCCCAATCAATGATCCCACGTCGATTGGGAAGGAGAACGAAACATTATTTATAAGGGTGTGGAAACCTCTTCCTAGAAAACCTTGATAGAAAGTCGGAAAGGAAAAATCCAAAGAAGACTATATCTGGTAGCATACGACAACGACGAAGACGAACAAAGCCAAACCATATGGATGCATGTCGGATCACGAGATGAGTTGAGACTGAGGCACCGTGAGCTTGAGTGATGGACGCTTCTATGAAGGGAGCCGAGTCGAGCTTGCCTTTTTATTTTAGTTTTTAACTTATATTCTCTTTTAAATCTATTTTGTTTTAGATTTTTTTTTTTTTTCCTTTTTTTAAAGGAAGAACCCTAAGTTACAAGCCATTTGGTAAATATAATGTATATGTTAATTTACATTAATATAAAATAATTATCACTTAAATTATATAATAATGTTTCTATGTACATTGTTTTTATAAATAAGTATGAAACATAACACTTTATTAATCCTATGTAATTACTTCCCAACAATTCCAAGTCTTTTATATAAGATATATAATCTAATGACTTTTTGATATATAACACTTCCAAGCATATTCATCCATATAAATGATATCAACTTAAAAGTAAAGATATTTAAAGGGATGACCAAAGTGGGACACCGGGTAAAGAGATGCCAGCATCACCAATAAAAATGTTACCCGAGACGTACCTAGAAGAGTCGTGCACTAAGTATCAAACGACGGTTGTTAATGTAGGTTCTGAAGTTCTAAAGGTTTTTAGAGGAGATATGGTCATTGCAACCTTGTTAATCCAATCTTTTTGTAAGAGATCTTTTGTAATTTCCGATTTAAAGAGTCCTATAGAATTCACCTTAATTTTGTGGGATCCTAATTCCATGGCCATAACCCGTTACAATAAATAGCTTTTAGATTATTGTTCTCGTAATTAATTATAGCTAAAGTTAGCTATGTGTAATAGCTCAAGTTAACCGCTAGCAAATATTGTTCTCTTTGGGCTTTTTCTTTCGGGTTTTCCCTTGAAGTTTTTAAAATGCGTCTTCCAAATAGAGGTTTCCACACTTTTATAAAAAATGTTTGTTCTCTCCCAATCGATATGAGATCTCAAAATCCACCCCGTTCATGGTCCAACGTTCTTGCTGGCACTCGTTCCTTTCTTTAATCGATGCGGGACCCCTCAATCTATGATCCCACATCGGTTGAGGAAGAGAACGAAACATTTTTTATAAGAGTGTGGAAACCTCTCCCTAGAATATAGGTTTTAAAAACCTTGAGGGAAAGCCGGAAAGAGAAAACCTAAAAAAGACAATATCTACTGGCGGTGGACTTTGACGGTAACTTTATCTTTGTCAAAGTGTTTAAGCCCGCCTTTGAAATAGTATAAGCAAGGGCACCCCATTGTAGTGCTCTATTAAGACCAATCATTGAAGAAATATTGATGATAGTGTTAGCGGTAAATTTAAGAGACTTGCAAATGTACAAAAAATGATCATTTCTTATTCATAGGGTCCAATGCCTTTTATAGAAAAAATATATTGAAAACTAATAACAAAAAAACTAACTTACAAAAATTTGCTACCTCAACACTTCCTCCCTTGAACGGAACTCGATCAAGAGTTTAGTTCATCGCACTCATCCCAAACGCTTCTCTGATCCTTTGAAATGATGCTATCTTCAAAGGCTTTGTCATTATGCCGACCAGCTGCTCCTTAGTGCTGCAATAGACCAATTTAATTACACCTTCCTTTATCAATTCTCTGAGAAAATGATATCGAACCCTTATGTGCTTTGACTTTCTATGCATGACTGCATTTTTTGATAACTTGATAGTGGACGTGTTGTCACAAAACAGAATCATCTCTTCATCTTGTTCATGCCCGATTTCTTTCAATATCCTTTTCATCCAAATGGCTTGACAGGCACATGTAGCTGCTGCTACATACTCTGCTTCAGTTGTTGACAACGTGACGATTGGTTGCTTCCTTGAGAACCATGCCACAACTCCTCCACTCATTAAGAAAACATAGCCTGAAGTGCTCCTACTGTCATCCACATCTCCCGCATAGTTACTGTCGGTGTAGCCTATGAGTTCACTCTTCCCTTCACGTTGATACCATATCCCAAATTTCAGAGTTCTCTTCAAGTACCTCATGATTCTTTTTGTAGTAGCAAAATGTAACTTAGTAGGATTGCCATAAAATGACTAATAAGACTTACCACAAACATCAAGTCAGGTTGTGTGGCCGTGAGATACATTAAGTTGCCCACCATTTGCTTATATAGTGTTGAATTGACCTTCACACCAGCTTCATCTCAACCAATCTACTGTCCAGGGACTATCGGATTGCAAACAGAGTTGTAATTTTGCATCTCAAACCTCTCGAGCAACTCAGCAGCATATTTTCTTTGACATATAAAGATGCCATCAACCTTCTGCATCACTTCAATGCCAAGAAAATATCTCATCTTCCCCAAATCAGTCATGTTTTATTCATCCATCATGGAGCTTTTAAACTCATTCAACAACTCCTCATCATTACTAGTGAACAATAGTTCATCAACATAAATGCTCACAATTAGAATTTTACCTCTCTTTTGTTTGATGAATAATGTTTGTTCACTAGAGCTGCTTACAAAACCTTCCTTGACGATTTAAGCCTCAATGCGACTGAATCAAGCTCTATGCGCTTGTTTTAGTCCGTAAAGAGCCTTTTGCAGCTTATAAATCATGTCCTTCTTCCCTACTACTTCATAACCTTGTGGTTGTTCAACAAATACATCTTCCTTCAACTCACCATGTAGAAAAGCAGATTTGACATCGAGCTGATAGATTCCTCATCCTTTTTGTGCTGCTACAGCAATGATCATCCTCACTGTATCCATTCGAGCTACTGGTGTGAATACCTCTATGTAATCTACTCCGTACTCTTTAGCTTACCCTTTTACAGCCAGCCGAGCTTTGTACTTGTCTACCTCTCCAAGTTCATTTAATTTTCTCTTGTATATCCACTTAACCCCAATGGCCTTGGCTCCAACAAGAAGTGCAGCCAGCGACCACGTGTGGTTCCGTTCGATGGACTGTATCTCAACATCCATCACTTGTTTCCATTTCTGATGTCCTACGGCTTCTTGAAAACTAGTCGGATCTGATATGGCCATGAAAGCTAGAGTTTCAATCTCGACTCTAGCCATGTTTGCTTCTTCCTCTGTATCTGATAGCCCTTCTCCTGTTATATAATCTGCAGACCAAATTGGTGGTTTTTTCACCCTGCCTGTTATTGCTGTTGTTTCTCCAATTGGTGGATCGTTTGGTGAAGGAACGTCATCAGTGTATTCTTCTGCTTCTTCCACTTCCTCTGCATTCTCAACATTTTCAAAATCATTTTCCCACTCAAGTTCAATGCTTTCTTCACCAGAATAACCAACATCTTCCCAATTCCACTTCTTATCTTCCTAAAATATCATATTTCGACTGATGTGAACCTTTTTCTCCACTGGATCAAACCTCTTAAAGGCCTTGGATTCACTATTGAAACCTAACAGAACACATTTCACGCTTTTGTCATCGACCTTGCTTCTTTTAACATCAGGGATATGAACATATCCGATACATCAAAAAATCCCAAAGTGTTCGACTGATGGCTTTCTTTCATTCCATGCCTCTTCCAGAGTCATATCTTTTACAATGAGTGAAGGAGATCTGTTAAGAATGTGATTCACCCATTGCACAACATCTAGCCAGAAAACTTTTGGTATCTCCTTCTCTAATAACGCTGCTCTCACCATGTTCATGATTGTACGGTTTTTACGTTCAGCAATGCCATTTTGCTAAGGCGTGAAGGCAGTGGTCAACTGTCTTTTGATTCCATGCGCTTTACAGAATTCTTTGAATGCAATTGAATTGTATTCTCCTCCTCTATTTGTTCTTAGACATTTGATGAACAATCCAGTTTGCTTTTCTACAAAAGCTTTGAATGTCTTGAACTAATGAAATGCTTCTGATTTTTCTAGGACAAAATATATCCATGTTTTTCTCGAGAAATCATCAATAAAGCTTATAAAGTACTTTATTTTACTGTTTGATGGTGGGTTGATCGGACCACAGAGATCAGAGTAGATAAGCTGTAATCTTTCAGTGGCTCTCCACTTGCTCTGCTACGGACATGGAACACGGTGGTGTTTCCCTTTGACACACGCCTCACAGATAGTTTTCACATCTCCAATTTCAGGTAAACCTACAACCATCTCTTTACTGCATAATGTGTGAAGTCCCTTGTAGCTGAGATGCCCATATCGATGGTGCAATTGCTCTGCCTTGTCTGAGATATCAACCTGCAGACATCTCTCCTCCTTTGTTTTGTTATTTGATTCACCGAGCAGGATAAACATCCTATTAGCACTCATAACATATTCTGCTATTTTTCCTCTTGATGGATGAAAAATGTTGCATGTGTTTCGATCTCCTCCTTTGAATAGCACGTTTAAACCCCTTTCTTGAAGTTGTCCAACACTAAGCAGGTTGTTCTTCAGTTCCGAAATATAATACACATCGTTGATCACATAGCTTATTCCCTTAAGTATTATTTTGACTGCTCTTTTCCCACCAACCATCCGTTTGTGATTGTTCCCAAGCTTGACATTATGTGTGAAGCTAGTATCCAAGCTTGAGAACATACTTCTTTCTCCACACATATGGTTTGAACACCCATAATCCACAAACCACACCTCTCTTCTTTTAGTGCCTTGAAGCTCCACATATGTCATGAGAATAACTTCATCTTTTTTTTCGACCTCTACAAAATGTGCTCCATTGTACCTAATTGGACATTCATATTGGAAATGTTCAAGTTGGTGGCAGTTGTAACACTCGATTGTTGCTTTGTTGAATGAGCGTCTTCTGCCCCTGCCTCGACCTCTGTATGATCCTCTGCCTCTGCCTCTGACCTTGAGAGCTTGATCACCTTCTTCATGACTGATCTTCTTGAATTTCTTTTCATGTACAGACAGAGAGCTTTGCAATTCGTCAATCGTCATATTTCTTGTGTCTTTTGACTCCTCGATGGCTACCACCACATATGTGAATTTATCAGTCAGAGTTCGAAGTATTTTCTCAACAATCTTCGAATCTGACATGTCTTCTCCGTTGCTTCTCATCTTGTTGGAGATAGCCATTACTCTTCCAAAATAATCATCGATGTTCTCTTCGTTCTTCATTTCAAGAACCTCAAAATCTCTTCTTAAAGTTTGGAGAAGAGACCGCTTCACTCTTTCGTTACCTCCAAATTTTTTCTCCATCGAATCCCAAATGTTCTTGGATGTTTTGCGATTCAAGATCTGTTCAAACACTACCCAATCAATTGCTTGGAAAAAGTAGTGCTTCACTTGATGATCCTTCATCTTGAACTCATCAAGATTCCTTTTCTGCGCTGTAGTCACTTCGATTCCCTCTGCCGATTCCGTGTAACCCTCTTCCACTAGACTCCACAAACCCTTGGCACACAAGAAGTTTTCCATTAGTTCACTCCAATGATAATAGTGACCATCAAACTTTGGAATCTTGGTGATTGTTTTGTCGCTGCTCATTTTCTTTCTTAGATCACTTTCTTGGTCGGATCACTTTCTTGGATCCTAACCGGCTCTGATACCAAATGTTAGCTGTAAATTTCAAAGATTGTCAAATGTACCAAAAATGATAATTTCTTATTCACAGGGTCCAATGCCTTTTATAGAAAAAATACATGAAAACTAATAACAAGAAAACTAACTAACAAAAATTTGCTACCTCAACACTAACTCATTAACAGAAATTTGCTACCTCAACAGATAGATCCACCTCGATTAGCGTCACGCATGTGTATGGATACATACTTTGATATCAACCACGGTCCCTTAAGATTTGTTCTCATGGTTTGATCCCATTCTTCCTCGGACAAATCTAGAGGGAACTTTATAGGCCCTATGAGCGATGTCATAACAAATATTTTTGTTACAAATGATGAAGTCGTTTAAAGTTTTAAATTATTAATTTATAATAAAATAGATATTAGTTCAAAAAGAACAATATTTGCTAGCGATGGGTCTTGGTCGTTACAAATGGTATAAGAGCCAGACATCGGGCGATGTGCCAGCGAGGAGGTTATTCCCTGAAGGGGGTAGACATGAGGCGGTGTGCCAGTAAGGACGCTGGGCTTCAAAGGGGGTGAATTTGGTAGGGGTCTCACATTGATTGGAGGAAGAAACAAGTGCCAGCGAGGACGCTGAGCCCTGAAGGGGGTGGATTGTGAGATCCTACATTAGTTAGGGGAGAACAAAACACCCTTTATCAGTGTGTGAAAACATTTCACTAGCAAAAGCGCTTTAAAAACCTTGAGGGAAAGTCCAGAAACGACAATATCTGCTTGCTGTGGATCTGGTGCGTTACAAAAATAATACGTTAAAAGTACTATTTTTTCAAAGGATGATGGACTTGCCTCTCATACCAGCGTTGTTGACTAAAGTGTCAATAAAACCAAATGAGTCCCAAGCTTTTCTGATGCCCTTCTCGATAATTTTTCCATCCGCGCTAACATCAAGTGTCACAGCCACTACTCGGTAGGTCTCCACCGCCATCACGGAGGAGGTTCGGGAGCTGGCAAATACCAACGATGACGACGAAACTAAGAAATCGAGTCAAATTATTTCATCACATAGAGATTGGAGTCTATTGTTACGACGTGCAGCGAAGATTTTGCATCCAGCTTTGGTAAGATCGAGACAAAGCTCACGGCCGAGCACCGACGAAGCTCCGGTCACCATCACTACTTTCCTGTTCAAGTCATTCCATATCTCAAGCTCAAGAGAAGAATGTGGCTGGATCGCCATCATTACTTGTTTATGAGAAATGAAGTAATGAACCTATAAACGAGTTTTAAGTTTTGTCTCTGATATTTGAAAAAGAAAAAATCCGAAAATGAAAATAAAATATTTAATAATTGTGACGTAATAAAGTGTTATTAAAATTTCATATAAATAAAATAGTTATAATATTACGCTAAGCTATATATATAATTTGACCTAATTAAATTGTAACTTAATCTTCATTCATATGGGTTTAGTTTGTAATAAATCTTAATAATTATCTTTAAATAAATAATTTTTAACAAAATTATATAAACTTTTAATTGTTTTTTAAAAATTATATATTATAAAATATACTTATAAATCTTATACAATTATTATAATTTATTAATATTGTAAATATGTATAAAATAATTATTACAATATAATCTAGAAATCATATTTAGAAGGAAAAAAAAAAAAAAAAAAGGAGAACACAGCTCATGGCCTAATGAATTAATGTGTCATTATTTCTTTTACCTAAATAATGAAGAAGCCCATTTATGATGGTGGGAAAATAATTTTAAAACCCAAACAAACATGGGTTTGCCTTTTAAGTGGTTCTAATTAAAGATAATGTTTTGATCGGGCTACGAACATTATGAATTATGACGATCATCGCGACGTCGTCATCTATGTAGAGGTGTTTTGCTTTATAACTCGTTAGGGGTCGTTTACTGAGTATTTTTTTAAATATTCACGCCTCGTGCTACTATATTTTTCAGATAAAGATAAGACGCTCCTGTAAGGCTGATAGAGGCATCGCAACCCCGAGACCGTATAAGATAGATTTACATTTCATTTAGTAGTATAGATCAGTGTAGATTGAGTTGTATTTTCCATTTAATAGTGTAGGTTAGTTTAGGGTTTAATTGCACCACATGGGTCAATATAGGTTAATGTATGACATTTTATTTTGCATTATTTTCTTTCAAAATTAATATATAAATTTTTGAAGAATTTTTTTATTTTTTTTTTATAACCATAGTAAGTCGTAATTCTAAATTTTGAATTTGTTACTATTTGGATTAGAAGAATAAATACCGAAATTTATTTACTCTTTTAGCAATTTATGCTACCTATCGTTGTTAAAATGGGTAAAAGTTGATAATAATAATAAATAAATAAAATAAAGTTAAATGGAGAAAAAAAAAGAATAATATGAAAAAATAATAATAATAATAAATAAATAAATAGCCTCGGGTCTGGACCTCAGGCTCAAAATCTGAGCCATGAACTAGACCAGAGCTTCGATAAAAAAACCTACCTGAACTGCAGGTTCGTAGTTGAGCCTCCCTAGGTTCGGAATACACCTTCAATAGACACAGCCAGCCCAGCCCATCTTGTTTGGGCCAATCAAGTTCATGCAGCTCAGCCCAATTTGCCATCAGTCTATTCACGGCCCATAAGCCCCTCGCACCGAGCGGCCCACAGATCAGCGCTTCAACTCGCGACCCATGCTCGACCCGCTCTAACGACGCTGGCAATGGTTGAAGCTCAAGCAAGCCAACCTTCTAGCTGATGCTTGCACCCCGACTCACTCATCGGCTAGAATACTCAGCTTCTTAGCTAGCTTCCTCAGCCACATAGCGGCTTCTCCTTGACTTAGGTAGTTTATACGGCTCGGATTGAACTTCTATGACCCTTTCCTACCATCTTGGAGTGTCCTATAGCTGTTGTTGACATTGTTAGAAGCGTTTGAAGTAAGTACGACAACTATTTGGTCAATTAAAAATATTTGTTAGATGATGAATTGATGTCGTTCGGTGAATTTATCCCTTTAATATGTTCTAATCCAATGTCATGGGTTCACATACGTTAAATTGGACTCTGATGAGTAGATTCAGGCTTGTTCTAGGAATAATTAGTAACTTTAGTCTAGGCCAACCAAGTAAGTAATCTTACTGTTTGTTTGGTTCGAGGAATTGTATGAAATATGAATGGTGCTTGCTCTATGGCCCATACACATGTCGTCAGCCGTATAGAGGAGCCTTACCTTTACCCAGAAAATAAAAGTAGCACATGGCTTAAGAATTTTAAGAAATACTCCGTAAATGACCTCACTATTAGGGTTAGATGGAAGCACATACAATTTTGAGTGGGACCTATCATTTAAATTTGTATTCTTGTACACGACTATCCTAAGCCGGTAATTGGGTGTGTATTTACTATTCTATACACAGCTTACACGTATGAGTATGGACCTACCAGTCAATTTGTACACCTCCTGGGCCCCTTTGCTTGTCAAGCTAGCATTCTCTAGTGTTGTTGTTGGACACTCGGTAAGATTAGTGACCTTTGCAGGATTATGACAAACATCATGATCATTTTTCTTTTCATAACGTTCGTGTCCGACCATCGTAAATGGAGAAATTTCTCGATGCATGAGGCCCCAACATTTATCATTTATTAAATCATGTAAATCAACCTCTTTCATCTTTATTCATATCATATCATTTTACAACATACCTTTTAAGACATGTATCGGGATTGAATATCATATCATTTATATCATACATCGTATTATGTCATATCATGTACATAACATGTATATCATGCACATATCATATCATGAACCATGTCCCAACATGTATTATATGTCAGATGTGTCATACCATAACATATATCATCAGCACATCACGTCATAATTTGTCGCATAACATTAACATATCATAGTAATATCATAATCATATCATTTTATAAATAAAAAAATCGCATATATCAAGCACATAACACGTGCAGAACCACGAGGCACGTGTCATCATACAGACAAACTTTTAACCATGTCCATAGTAAGATCACTTACTTGATGGGCCTTAGCCAATGTTTTCCCTAAAATAATTCTTTGAGCTCGTCCTTCGAATCTTATTCCAAGCTTTGCCGAGGTATTTCCTATAGAAATTTCACTCAATTCCTTTAATTAACTCTAATTTCCTAATCCAATTTACCTTAAATTAAGAAATTGAGCATCAAACTAACCTTAATTGCCTTCGATAAGGTCGAATTCAACTTCGGGATGGTCGAAAAGGTGGAAATTGGTGTAATTTCCATAAATTGAGCCAAATAGCGCGTTTTTGAACCAATAAGTCGTGTTGCCCTGAGTCAAGTTGACTAAGTTGAGGAGTCGCTAGTTTCAAGCATGAAACATGGCACGAGGAGGAGTTGACGCATGTGCAACAACATTTCGGGTCGAAGTGCGGATTATCGGGACGATTGCTATAGGTATCCAATTCAGATCCCGATCCGACGGATTTCGTCTTCTTCACTTGTTTGCATTGTGAAACCCAATGGCTTTCTCTCTCTCTTTCCGAAACCGTTTTGACAACATTTTCTATTGTCGTTCTCCCCCAAATCTAGGTTGCCCTGCACCTCTGGTTACCTCCCTTCACAATGGAAGCGTCAGTACGTTAATATGACATGAGAATGGAAAGGTGCGACATCCTTGTTATTTAAAGATTTACTTCCTCCTCGCCGGCCATGACTCTAAACTTAACACACGATAGAAGGGTGTTGTTTGACTTACCTATACGTTATGAATCCTTTATGAGTTCTATCTAATTTTCAAGAAAGTGACCATCCTAATTCAATTTTCCAAATATCCCTCCCTCATTAATTTGGTTAATCAAAGAGAAAAATAAACGAGCACGAGAGATCGAGAGAGCTGAGAGATTGAGAGAAGGAAGAGCCCCTCGAATGTTTTAGAAATAGATCTCATTTAAGTGGGTTTTGTTTGAAATTAGAGAGGTACACGAGGCCTGGTAGAGATAGAGAATCCCTACAAAATTTCCTATTTATTTTTGTGGTACACGAGACCGGGTAGATTCTCTTGTCTCTCCTCTCTCTCTCTCTTCTCGCAAACAACGTCCCCTCCTAAACCTCTTCTCCGACAGATCCCAGTAGGCGGCGGCGACCGGCTCGATGGTCTTAAAAAAAAAAGGAAAAGAAACCAGACAAATCAGTAGAATATATATATATATATACATACATACATACTCGTTGGCTACTATTAAGAATGTTTATATGGGTCGATAATTTAATCAATTTGAAATGTCCTATTGAGTTATATTTTTTTAGTTGAATTTTTGAAAAATAAAAAATTTGGTTCAATTGGTAGGTTACCATACTTTTGATCTAAAAAAAATAAGATTATAATCTAACTCAACCTAATTCTAGCTTATTTTTAAAAATATTAAAAATATTTAACGTTTGTAACCGATGTCAGTGATATGGTAAATATTTGATGTCTGAACTTTATCAGATTTTTTTAATGGGTAGGATTTAAAAAAAAAATTAAAAAGAGAACAAACATTTTCTCTTTTATCCTATGCTATCTTATTCGATGTTGTTATATACTAGCCTTTAGCTTAGAACATTGTTTTCTCTTAAATTAATTTCAACCTACGTTCTGAAAACATTTCTCTCAAACGTGTTCGAGACTCGAGCATGCGGATATGAATAAGAGAGAGAATAGAGAAAAAAGAAAAAGAGGGACATCATGATGTCCTAAAGAATCTCATGAAGCTACTGAACTCTCACTTTCCCAGGGGTCACTTTAATCCTCCCTTTTCTCTCTCAATTTCTCCTTTTTCCTCCTCCCCTTCTCTCCGCCGTTACACCGCCGCCATAAATACACCTCCCCCTTCTTCCTCCCCAAATGGGTTAACCCAAGAAACAGAGAAAACAACACAATGATCTCTGTTTCTGATCTTTACCATGTCCTCACCGCCGTCGTCCCCCTCTACGTCGCCATGATCCTCGCCTACGCCTCCGTCAAATGGTGGAAAATCTTCTCCCCGGATCAATGCTCCGGCATCAACCGCTTCGTCGCCCTCTTCGCCGTCCCCCTCCTTTCCTTCCATTTCATCTCCACCAACAACCCCTTCTCCATGAACCTCCGATTCATCGCCGCCGATACCCTTCAAAAGCTCATCGTCCTCGCCGCCCTCATCCTATGGTCCCATCTCTCCTCCAAAGGCTCCCTAGAA